GTTGTCATGGCCCGATGAGGAAAATGGGGTCACCACCATCAGCACAGATAGCAGTTGTAGCAGGACCACAGACCCAGACATGGCCCTCGGCAGCAGCTTGGGCCTGGAGGACATCCTGGCTCCGAGTGGAAGCCAGGCCACACAAATCACCATGACTTTGGTGGTGGCATAGCTCCCGGACACCAGCAAGACCACGCGTTGTGGCCTCCACTGTTAAGAATATTTCCTAACAGAACTCTCTGACGACGCAAAAATTCCCAATCAAGCCAAATCAAAACAAACCGAATAAAGAAATATCCAGGTTTAATGGAAGATCTGCGCTCTCGGGTGGCCCCGAGGGGGAAACGGGAAGCCGCAGAAAAGCAACCCCTGGGAGGAAGAAAGGGGGACCACGTGTTCTTCTTTTGGGGGATCACTTAAGTACCTGGGGAGTGGTCCTGACCCCACCCTCAGGGAGGGGTCATGACTGGCCTGCTGGGATTTGAAGTCCAGACCATGCCTGGGGGCTGAGATAGATGCCAGGGACTGGGGCCTAGGCTCCCAGCCTAACATTCTAGACTCTTTGGCTATAGGGGTGACAGAAACTTGGAATGGTATTTATGACAAACACTTAGGCTCTCTTGAAAAAGGGTGTAGACTCAAATCTGGCTACTTCCTGTGGGTACGGGGCAGCTTGGGGAAGGGGAGAGCCAGGTGTCCACGTTTAGCGAGGTGTGGCTGGAAAGGCATCCCATGAACTGTCATCCCGGAGAAGGCAGGCAGCTGTTCCTTGGAAGAGATGAGAAGGCAGGTGGCTAGGAAAAAAAAAAAATTGTTATTGATAAAAGATGAGTGTGCCAGAATGAGGAGCCGGTAGGCCCTTCATTGTGGCATCCTGGAAAACCGGAGGGTGGAAGGTCCTGTCTGCTGGACAGACCAAGTGTCTTGAGCAGGTGCCAGCTTGAGCCTGGAGAGATGGTACCAGCATGGATGTCCCAAAAGCTTGCAGCTGAGGGTGTGGTGAGGATTAGTGTGTGAGGTCCTGTCCTTAAGAGGGAGAGGTAGGGAAGGTACCCCGCCAATGGAGGAGTTTGAACTGGGGGGTGATGGTTAAGGAGAAAGGGCCTGCCATAAAGCAGTTTAAAAGGGCTCAGGGCCATAGGAGAATATGGGGTGGCCCTGAGGCGAGGGCCAAGATAACCTTAGTTCAATGGAGAGCTTGGTAGGTTGTTGTTTGATGAATCCCATTGTCCAGGAGATGTGAGCTTCTGACACGAGCTCCATGAGTCTGAGCCACCGCATTTGCTGTTTCCCTGGAGACTGGAAACACTTCTATCCATCCTGTAAAAGCATCCACGAGTTTAAGAGACAACGAAGATTTTATGAGTATGCATATGAGTGAAATTAACCTACCAATCTTTGTCCAGTTGGTGTCCACGAAGCTTGTGTATGTGGAGAGCTCCTTGTGGGTTGGCCTGGGCACACGTCTGGCAGGATGAGTGAATCTGTAAAATAGAATCATGGAGATGGGCCGGGTTGAAAGGGGCTCCAAGCTGTGGGGAAGCGGCTAAGAATATCTCCACCCAGTAAATGTGCTGGGCAAGCCAGTATCGCTAAGAAAGAATAAGAGAAAAAAATGTTCTACAAGAATGTAGGACAGTGGCAGAGTTTTAAGTGTCCTTGGTGAGGGAAACTTAAGGCCCGAGTGAAAATAAAAGTAATGGACTTACCCGCCACTTGTACCAGACCCTAGGCTAGGAGAGGGTTTTGGGATATACCACGTTTGGGCAGCATCAATCTGCTGCAAGGCTGAGACATTTGAAGGCTGGCAGTTTCACTTGCTGATGGTGATGAGGCCGGACCTCCGTGGCTTGGCATAGAGGACAAGCCTGCACGGGGGCATTGTGATTTCCAATGTCCAGGTTGCTGGCAGATAGGGCACAACCTCGAAGCAGGTGTAGTGCAATATCGTGCCATGTGACCATTTAGGCCACACTCGATAGAGCCCTGTGATTGACTTCCCTTGTCCCC